ATTTGCAAAACTACTGCCAATTTACGGGACCTTAATTTAAACAACTATTTCCTGGATTTTAACTAATTAAGGATAGTTTTCTCAATGCAATGTTAAGTATTGACATAGAGTTAAATTGCTATTACGTACTCAATATCATTTAAGACCACTAAATTAACACCACATTGGTAAAGCGTATTTGTATTTTCGAACCGTTTGATTTCAGGTTTACTTTCTCCAAAAGATAACAAATAGGTTCTAGACCTAAAAACACGACATTGAGAACCAGACCCTTAAAGTGACTTTTAGGTTACTAAGCTAGAATAATTTTAAATATCGTATAAACAATCGCTTAGTTAGTCAGTTCGTCTGACCTTGCGATACACTTGACTGATTCTAGATGACACACAATCATCAACGGGCAGCCCTGGCCACTATAGTCATTCCATTCGATGCTGGTTGGACAAATTGTTTGGCTAATTTGCGCGGCATTTTCCTAAGCCCCGGCACATTTATCACCACTCCGAGGCATTTTAGACACGTCTATCTCTCGATCTGATGGCTGGGTAAAAGTGGAGGGTGAGGAACTATTTCTGGTGCGGCCAGAACACGGCGTATGAGTAATGTCTTGATTTGCCAAACGTTTTAACGGATTTAAATTTATTTATTGCGCGCCATCTCAACAACGCCGACGTTAATTTTAGCCACATCTCGAAATTGTTTGTTTTTTGCTTTAAATTCACGTCGTCGGCGGACTCTCTATTTTCTGCTCTTTATTACTCCCATGTGCTTGTGCATACGAGTATAGGCACACACTATATATTGCAGCCAACGCTGACTGCTGACTACTGACTATTTCGATCCGGAATCTGAAATCCGGATCTTGGATCCGCCGTAGGTGTCGACGGAGGTGTGATAAACTGCATTCGCCTTATGATTGAGGGGCTAAGTGCGGGTCAAAGTTGGCCCCGTCTCGACTCATTAAAAATATATGTATGTGCGCAGCTCTCCTTTGTTCCCGACACCTATAAATCTAACGCAATTTATGCTCCGAGTTGGGAGTTTGGCAATTTATGGTAAAAGAATGTTGAGAATGGATGGTTTCCGGCGCAGAAAGAAATAATGGGATTGCATCTGTGCATTAATCACGAATTTCTGGAGATTGTTTCATAATGCGCCCTCTAAAGTATCAGCACACTTAAGGGTTATTTTGTAACCCAACGATTGTTTTATTATTTGTTGATTTCCCTAGTTTCCACAGTTTTGGTCATCAGATTGAGAATCTGCCCCTGAGGCGTAATAAGATATTTCCAAAAAAAATAAAGCTATATAAACCATCAACTTCCGCCTTTAAGTTTTCTTTCTTACATTGATTAGATCCATATGAATTTTAAATTGTTTATGGCATAAAACATTAATGAAATGATGATACATTTCGAAAGAGAGAGTATTTTATTTGTATACGCTTGGTAATTAAAGGATAATCAATATGAAAAATTTCAAATTCATATTTAATATTTAAATAAAAAGCAAAAATATGTAAACATATATTTAAATTGGTACTACAGTCGACATAGTCCTCTTTACTGTTTTGTATATCTAAAATGCTTTTCGGAAATCCTTCCATGTGTTGTGTGGACTTGGGAAACGCCTAATTGGGTGATTTCTTGCATGCAAATTGCCCGCTGTTACCGCCTCCTCATTAAAGCCCGTGCCAAATCGTTTCGCAGTTAGTTAGGAGATATAATCTAGTGCCCTTCCATTCCATTCGATTCCATTCCATTCGATTCGATTTCCATACCCATTTCGTTTGATTCGATTCGAATGCAATCTGCTCGCATATGTTCGTTTTTCCGAATTTTCTGTGGTTTTTTCTTTTCACACCGCCCAACGGAAATATTTTCCGGCCTGGACATTTTCCGTTTCCCTTACATTGTTGTTGTTGTTGCCGTTGTGGGTCTGTAATTGCTGCCTGTTGGTTGTTTTTGTAGCCGTTGTTTGAGGTCACATTGAACGTCAAAAGCGGCGATGGCAACGTTAATTTCGTTTGTCCATAAACATGCTACATATGTGTGTATGGCTGCGCGGGTCCTTTGAGCCGGATTCCACGGGGTGAGGGGTTGCATTTTGCAACCCTAATAAACCGAAAGGCGGGGTGGGCGTGGCAGCAGCAGGGCAGAGAGCCTGGCACACGTGCCATCCTCTGATAAGACCGTCTGCCTCTGCCTCTGCCACTGCCACTGCTGCCGTCCTCCATACATATTCCGCCCTGGTGTGACTGTGATTTATGCACTAAACAATACCAAAAGGTCCCGGCTGCATGTCCATCTCCCCATCAGAACCCCTCAATCCCCGCCCGCCCCCTTGAACTGGATCACAAAAAACTGCAATGTTATGGCACGTGATGACCACGAAGGACACTTTCATCAAGTGCCCCGAACACACACTGCAGCCAGTGAATTATGGCCGAACTTTGTGTTCTAATGAAAAACAGGTTACAGTTTCGATGCAATAATGATGTTTCACTGTGATAAGGATTTAATTCATACATAATAATAAAAGCTGTCGGATGGCTGAAATCCGATAAATGGGTCATGAAACTTGAATTTATTTCTCAAATGTTTAATCAAATACTTTAAAACATGGAGAAACTATTAAACATTTTTTAGTATGTTATATTTAATGGTAAAGGGTTCCAATTGTTTCATACACAGATTTTCTCATAAGTTTAGTAAGAGAAACATTTTTAAAAATAAGAAATTAACTTTATAACTAAAGGATAATCCGTATTGCGTAATGTGAACCAAAGGACTCAAGTTACAGCTTAAATTTTGATACCCTTTTAAGGAAAACAACAAGGAAAGTCTCCCACTCTTTTTTTTTTTAATAAAATTCGTTCGTCACATAGAGAACCCTTATAATTTTGTCAGCTCCAACGATAAACGTAGAAATACCAACATCAGCATTGGCAAAATCGAAAGCCGAAAAACTTCCCTGCTCTCATTTTCATGTTCGATTGTCGAATTGTGTGTTCGCTCTTGTTGAAAATGCTTATCAAATTAATTTCGCTTAAATTCGCGCTTATTGTTCGAGCTCAGCGTGTTTTTAGAGGGTTAATTGCGAGGGTTTATCCCGGATTCTGGATTCTGGACTCGGGATATCTGCCTCTCCGTCTGGCAAACGGATTCTATTGTGTGTTGATTGAATGTTTGTGCTGTTGTTGTTTGCTTGTTTAGCCTGGCCAAAGGTAAGGTCTCGATTTCGCGAGGGTTGGCCCAAGAGTTGGGAAGCGGTCTTGGTTTTGGTCTTGGTTTCAATCTCACTTACCTACGCCCAAACCTCACTCCTCACTCCTCACCCCCTAACTCCATACACGTGTCCGCCGAGTTGTTCAATTATGGCTAAGCCAAATCCGCAGCCCAAACAGTAATGCCTTCAGGTTTTCCCTTTCCTACACACATTCCTGTCACAGAATTCTTATCCTGCAAGGAAAAGAGCAACCCCCAACCCCCAACCCCCCGCCTCCAGCCTCCAGCCAGATCGCCGGAGCTAAGATGAAAACTAAACACACGCGACTGGCTCGAAAATTGAATTCTAATGGAGTTGCCATTGCCTCCCCCGGTGCCATATCTCCATACGCCATTTGCAACCCTGTTCCCCACCGATTTCCAGTGTTTTTAACTGTGTGCCCCGATATGTTTGCCCAACAGATTGGCCTGGATGGATGGCCACGCAAGAGTCCTTGGGGGTAACTCGCCCCGAAGGTAGCTATCGCATCGAAATTTCCCTTTTTTTGGGAATGTTTTGGGGGAGTTTGCTTGACTTCGGTCTAGGTAGCACGCGTACGAGGCAAAACTCCCGACCGGGATATTCCGCACAGCAGACGTTTAGGTACAAGAGTTCAGGTAATATATATATATCCCTCGAGTGTTTCTTTAAGCCCTCTCAATAATATTGGTCAATAAAACAATACGTAATCCCATAGTTTTCCCCAAGGTATGTTGGCAATTTAGTTGCTGGATTCAAAATGAGGATTGGAAAATTGGCTAGGATAGGAGTAAAATATCATAGTTCAGCTGAGTGAATTTAAATCGATCAAGATTCATTAGAGATAATCATAACACAGAATAAAACTCAAAATTAACAAACACAACAATTTTAGTTGAGAAAGGTATATATAATACTTGCAGCTGTCAGGGAATAATGCTTATATAGTGTCTTTGCTTCCATTACCAGTAAATAAACAAAGCTAAATTGTTGAAATGAAACCGTATTCTGTTTATAGCCTTTTCCTAGAGCTAAAATATTTATTTTAAATGCCCTTGAATATTAAGAGAGTATTTTTTAAGCCTCATTTAAAGTATTTCTTTTTTTAGAAGTTCGTGTCGTATAACACAACATACTTAATTTTAAAATACATGCTGCGAATGACTTCAAAAAGTATATACTCTTAAATAAATTATTACCATTGAATTAGTTTTTGGTTGCTCGAGAAAAATGTCTGAGTTTTCATTTAAATGTCGCTTTGATTTTTATCTATTGCTATATTTGGCTATTTTTAATATGAAAACATTCATATTTTTTTAAATGTTTCATTCGATCTTTAGAACTGATTTTCATATCCAAAAATGTACTTTAAATTTAAACCTTATTTAAGTTAAATATAATGAATTTCATGCAACATAACATCATCATTTAATTTGAATATTATATACAACATTTTGTATTCAATGGTCAGATATTTATTTATTCTTTTCCATTTTTGTTATCACTGTATGCATTTCGATTTCGTATCCCCAAAAGGCAATACGGTTTGAATATTTAAAGAGGTACTGACTGATGGTACCACCAAAAACGAATATTGTAAATGTGCTAGTATTATATGAGAAGTACGGATTAATAATGGAAATTACTTAGAATTTTATTACCCTATATATATATTCTCTAGCCCTATTTTTCCCCAATCAGGCATATAAATATTGTGTTTGATATATTTGGTTTTGAAAGTCGTTTGAACTCACCCTTGCACTCGTTGGTCTCCTTGGCGGATGCTCGGGCCCAGGGGCGGTCGAAGTGGAAGGGCTTGCAGCGCTCGCAGTCCCGTCCGGCGGTATTGTGGCTGCACTCGCAGCTCAGCTGCCCCGTGGCGTCCGTGGAGCACTTGGAGGCGTGGCCATTGCACTTGCAGCGCCCGCCCACCGAGAAGTCGGAGATGGCGTAGTGGAGGCCGCTGCCGGCAGCGCTCGCCTCCGCCTCAATGTTGTTGCCGCTGGGGCTGTTGACGAGCGGTACGCTGTACTTGCCGCCGGCCAAGTCCGCCGCCGCTCCGGCCTCCAGCGAGAGCAGGGCCTGGGGATCGGGGCGCTGAAGGCGGTGGAACACCACGCGGATGTCGGTGGCCGTCACCCAGTCCTGCAGCACCGGCGAGGAGTCAAGGTCGCGGGCGGAGGGCCGCCCCTCTAGCGTACTGAAGGCGATCCTCGAGGCCAGCGGACGCGTGTTGACGTCACTGCAGCGGGCCTCGTGCTCGTTGTGCCGCCCGGTGGACTGGCGAGCGGGACGGCCAAAGAGGCGGCGGCACTGGGAGCTGAAGAACTGGAAGGGCTGCCAGCTGAGCCCGTAGTCGGAGCTCTTGTAGATCACCACGGAATCGGGGCGCGGGGCGTGGGGGCACAGTTGCAGGATCACGTAGGTCAGCTCGAACTTCTTGCCCAGCGACAGGGTCAGGGTCACATTGTCGCCGCTGCCCACGACCGGCTCACTCCGCCAGCAGGTCACATTGTTCGAATTGTTCAAGTCGGTCAGCGAGCGGGCCGGAAAACTGCGAAGCGGATCGCTCAAATCGCATGTGTGGCAGGCCAGGTCCCGCTCGCGATCCTGGAACTCGCAGTACCGCTGGGCACTGGACGCCCCGCACGTGGAACTGGCCACCACGGGGGCATCGTAGGCGGCGTTCACAAAGTCCGGGATGCACACGCGCGGCTCCTTCGCCTTGGTGTAGCAGGGATCCTCTGGCGCCACCTGCTGGGGGAACATCTTCAAGTACACGTCGTTGGGGATTCCCTGTGAGCCCGGAAATCCGGAGATTCCCAGGAGCAGCAGTCCACCGATGATCGTTGCCAGGGGAGACATCTCCGGTTCTTTGCTTTCAAGTATTCACAACCAGTATTGCAGCAGTTCCAAAATATCCTTCGTTTTTGGAAACCACGTATTCGTAATCAAATTTCAAAAAACGTTCAGTTGTTCTGTAGTTGTAGAGGTCACAAATTTTATTCACTCAAAAAAAATAATGCAATCTTGAAAAGTGTAGTTTTTGAAATCACTAAGCAGGAAAATTTGCAATAGCATAAGTCATCCGAATTCCAAATTCAAAACTGTTTGATAGTTTCAAAAATTATACAATTCGAAATACAAAAAATTTCGATTGTTTTCAAAATCACTTGGTTACACTTTTTAATATTTTTAAAAGTCACACAAAAAAAAAAACAAAGTTCAAGGTATTTTAAATAGTTTTCCAAGTCACACAAAGGATTTAAGTACCCTTAAAAGTCACTTAAAAAAAAACGTATTTTATATGTCTCCCATAGTTTACAAAATTAATTAAAACACTTGAAGTAAAATTCGAAATTCGCCGCTTTTGCAGCCGTTTGCGCAGGCGTTTCGAAACGCATGGAAATCGCGTCGTTCGGCGGCGTTCGCGTTCGGTTGTTCAGTTGTTCTGTTGTTGTTCGGTCGGTTTCTCGATTTTGTTTGAGTTTGAGTTTGAGTTTAGCCAAAGAGCTCATCGTCGATTTCCCAAACGAAATTTTAAAATCAACGTTTTCCCAACAGAATGTTAAGTACCAACGTTTTCCTAACAGAATGTTAAATATCATCGTTCCCAGCACAAATGATGAGAGAGGCTGTGTGTTGAGAGCGGAGATAGAGCGAGAGAGTCGACTGTTCGACTTCGTTCGTTTCGGTTCGTCTTCGTTCGGCGCTCGTTTTTTCGCACGTGTGCTGTGTGTGTTTGTTTTTGTTTTCGATCGCGGCCCGCGCAACATGTTGCTGTGTTGCTAGGCCGGGATGCTGTTAACATGTTGACTGACAATTTGTCTCTCTTTATGTTAATGTCAGACGCTGTTAAAACCTCTCTCTCTCTCTCTATTGCGAGTTGCGCAGTTGCTGCAACATTTGTTGCTTTGCTGGCGCTGCACTTTTGTTTTGTATTCATACACTTGGCGAAACATTGTTGCCACTGTTTATTTGCTGTTGTTTGTTTGTTGTTCGACTTTGGCGTCACGGCACACTGCACAAAAATGCTGTTCTCTTTTCAAACAGTTCAACCTTTTTGGACTGCCATCAAATGATTAAAAACTCTTCCCCAAAGACGTTAAACTTAAATAGTAAGAGTCAAAAACTTTTAACTGGGCCACCTTTTTAACGGTTTTGAATAATGCAAGGTCTGACATAGGTTACAAGGTTTCAAAAATATTATTCATAACCGTTTTTAAAAAAGTTGCACTTGCTTTTTATTTAATAACTTCTAATCGACTCTCATAGTGATGCTGATCAAGATTATATATACTTTATAGGGTCGAAATGCAGAGAGAGAAAGGCATTTGGTTAATTTAATCTTGTTTTCATTGCAATTGCTTTGTGATCTAATCGAGTGAGAAAAAAAAAATAAAATAAAAAAGAAATACATAAATAAAAACAGTATTTTTCGCCAGTTTTATAATAACTTTTAGAAACAAAAAATGGCTTACTGTGTTATAAATCAGAAAAAAAAAAATCGGCTACAAAATATTTGAAAACGTAAACGAAAAAATGGTTTCTTACTTCTTGCAAAATTTCGAAAAAAAAATAATATTTTAGATTTTTGAACTATTATTTTGGCACGACCAGCAATATAAACTGGTATAAAAATAACCAGATGGGGTATAAAATTTAATTAATAAAAAACGTTTGGAAATTTTAAAAGGTGTTCTAAAAATACATAAGCGGGAATAAAAACGATTTGGAGCTCCAAAAATCAAGGTAGGGAAACATTTTTATTTTTTTTTTTGTCTCATTCTCCGCTTCCAAGTGTTTTCGCCTTGTGTTTACCTTTCGATGGCTATCGATAATAAAGACGCCTCGAATCTCATCTTAGCCAACTCAACGCAACTGCGTTCTCGCGTTGGCTAAGTTATTAACTTGTCGTTAATGAAAATCATCAGTTTTCGAAGAGGGCCGCGTAATTACGAGCGGATGGTCATGCTGATGACGATGGCTTCGTTATGGCCTTCCCCTCCACATTGGTCCCCCTATATATTCCCCGATGTCCCCTCTGTGGCCCACTGAAATCGGCGCCTACTCCAATATTTTCTGCATTTTGCCTGCACCTTTCTGATAAGCATTTCACTTCCAGCTCCCTTTCAACTTCATAATCATTATAAGCGACCACGCGCTTTTGTTTGTTTTTATTTGGAGGCGCGTATAATTAGCTTGGATGGGGCAATGTGTGGTCGGGTGGGCGTATGGGCGTGGCGGCGGTCGAAACCGTATCGAAATATTCCTTAATTATTCGAATTCTCACGTGTGCGCTGGAATAAGCGCTTAGGTTTAATGACTTTGCTGTAGGGTTAAAGCCTTTAAAACCTTATTCTCTTCTTACTTTTTATCCAAAATCATTTAAATATATTTCTTAGTCATATAAAACTTTTTCATTTATTTAAAATGTTGTCCTTCATGTAATTTATTAAAGTTGCTTAATCCTAATTAAATAAAACAATTTTTTTATAAATGTTTACCTAATAGCACCAATTATTTTGTAGTACGTACTACAAAGAAGTTGACTTCAACATTTTTGAATTCCTAACCAATTAATAATACGATAGTACTAAATTACAAAAAAAGAATGATAAAATGACTATTTTATTTTAAAATCAATTTATTTAGAAAGTCGTTCTTCAGATATTGTTTAATTTTTGACTATTTTTAAATTTGATTTAAATGTCTGAACATTTATTTTAAATTTAAACCACACTAAACTCAAATAAAATGCATTTTAATCAAATAGGAACTATTTTAAATCTTATATTTGCCACATTGATTTAAATTTTTGATACTAAATCATGTAATACAATATGCATTGTATTTAACATTATGATTTCATATTTAGTTTTAATATTTAATATATAATTTTAAATTCGATATATATATATATATATATTTACTATTCCATTATTTTATCAGTGTTTAAAAAAAAAGACTAAATATCGGTAGTAAATAACTAAAGTACCAACCAAAAGGAGGATCCAATGTGTATTTTATTTCCAAATATCGGCAAAAAATTGGGTACATACTTTGTAGTGTTTAATATTATATTCCTCACAAACCATCATATAAATGACTGAAGTACCTACTAAGTAGGACCTCAAGTCCATTTTCTTCAAAGTACTTATTTAAGGCCAATCTATTAGGGTCGTTAAGTTGAACCTGTGATTAGAAGTGTGCTTACTTTTGAGCTTTCAGAGTGACTAAACAAACGCAACACCTACGCCCTCACACGTGCAATGAAAGACATCTGGCCGGCTCATTTCCGCTTCCTTTGTTGATGCGGGGATCCACTTCCATTTCCATTTCCACATCTACATCTACATCCACATCTACATCCACATCCACATCCACCCAAAACTGCTTCTGGTCGGCGGCTTATCGGCTCCTTGGTGAGAATCAGATTCTGAGAAGAGGGGCAATGGTGAAAATAGATGAAAATAGGGGACTGGAGCTGGATCAGAACTTTTGCTTTATTACCTTGGCAGTAGGCGTGGCAGCAACAACCACAAAGCCGACGACCACAATATGATGTCGATGTGTGTGTGGATACACTGAGAAAATTTGGGACAAGCAAGTAAGTGGAGAGTTTTGAAACATTTGCCTCTTTACATTTACATTCCAAAAATCGTATGGACATAATCTATACTTAACAAAAATTAAATTAAATATAATATTATACTTCTTCTTCAGTTTTTCTTATAAAATATATATTAATTATTACAGGTCATTATGAATAACATTTACTCCCCAATATTTATTTTCTGCTCTCGCAAAAAGATATTCCAAAAAAAAATATTATTAATAATCATCTTTAATTTATAATTATTATAAGATTGGAATTTTTATAAAAATAAGAATTGGTTCTTTTAAATTTATTAGAGTTCACAATTGTTTCAAAAAAGGTTGTCGAACTTAAAATGTTTTTATTAACTCTAATGTTTTGTTTTAAAAATTAACAAAGCTTATTGTTTTAATTTTCTAAAAATTACATGAAATTATTATAATAAAGTTTTATTATAGTTACAGTTAAATTTAATTTATTCTAACATTAGATTCAACCAGAATTGGCATGAACTTAAACTGTTTTCCATTAAAGCTCTGTTCAATAAAAAAATCAAAATTAATTGTTTTTCTTGAAGGTTATGTTAAAAAACAAAACAAAAATGTTTAATTACAAATAAATTGTTTTTTCTTTGAGTGTTCCTGTGTGTTTTTGTCCCGATCGGTTTGTTTGTCTGGGTGGGCGGCCAGACAGTGCTAAACTTTGGCTTAAAATTGGCAAGTGCGTAATGAAAATTGCATTGTCGTTTTCCAGAGTGGGTGGTCGAGGGCAGGGCATTTCCAAAAGGAAGGTGGGGGGAAGGCTGTGGCTCAGAACCGTCCGGTCTTTTGTCATTTGTGCTCTCGAATGGGGCGCAAAGTCCAAACGGCTTTTCGTTGGTCCGTTTGTTGGTTGGTTTGTTTGTTTGTTTGTTTGCCAGGCCGGCCGGCGGCAAGATTTTTAGATTATGACGGCTCTACAATCCCCACCAGATGGGCAATATCCAGATCCACTATTGCCCAGGTCGTGCACCATGCGAAACTGGTAAGTCAAACTTAAAATGATCAAGACTCTTAAAATGTAGAACAAATAGATTAAAGTATCTGTATAATTTGCTTCACCTAACACTAATCATTTTTTAGTAGGTTTAAATGTTGATATACAATTAATAAGAAGTAGACATCGGATTACTGGCTTGAACGGATTTCAAACATTCAGTTCGATTCAGAAAATTATACTTTTAATTAAAAACATTTTTTACCTGTTTTCATGAATATTTCATTTTTGAATAAATTATTATTTCATCGATAGTCTGTTTAAATAGAAATAGAACGAAACAATAGAAAATAGAATACAAATTTCACTCTTTAAAAAAAATGGTACCATATAAAAATTTGGAGTATCATATTCTGAGGGTTTAATTAAAAAAAAATGTATTATAATAAATTTTATTTATATCACCAGAAATCAACATAGACTTTATTTATAGATGTTGCGCTACCCTCTTTTCTTGCTTATGCCGAAGTATTTAGTTTTTAATATAGCAATTTGATATGGTAGTTACATAATCAACCCTTTTCTCTCAGTGTTCATTGTTTGCTGTGCTCGTATTTATTTGTGTTAGGACTCTCTTTCACTTTATTGGTGACATCAATGAATGTGAACTCCTTTGTCGATGCCACTCACTCATCGAGGATTTGTAGATTCACACGCCTGCAGCCCATTTCCCTCCGTTTTCGGGCTTTGTGGTCACTTTTTTGGTCAGTGTTTATCTCTGGGTTTTTGTTTGTCTTTTACAAAGTGTTTGGCTCTTTAGTTGGTCTTTGATTTTATTGCTAGCAAGTTGCAAACATGCAAAAGAATCGACCAACAATACACAACAACCAAACTATAAGTACACAATTTA